CGTAAATGGGCCATGTAGGTCCAAGTTATCATATAGCCCCCATATAACGGTACCTCCCGATATTCGGTATTTTGATGATTTTAGCGACATTATTCACCGAAATTGTTTCAAATTTGGCATTTGAAGTTCGTAATGGATACTTCAGCCTAAGACGGAAAATTATCTGTGCAGGTCCACGTCTTCGTATAGCTCCCATATAACGGTACCCCCCGATATTCGGTGTTTTGATGATTTTAGCGACATTATTCACCGGAATTGTTTCAAATATGGAATTTGAAGTTCATAATGGATACTACATCCTAAGTCAAAAAATGAGCCATGTAGATCCACGTCTTCATATAGCCCCCATATAACGGTACCCCCCCTGTATTCGGTTTTTTGAGGATTTTAGCGACATTATTTAACGGAACCGTTCCAAATTTGCTATTTGAAGTTCGTAATAGATACTGCAGCAGAAAACAGAAAATGGACCATGTAGGTCCACGTCTTCGCATTGCCCCCATATACCGTACCCCCGATATTCTGTATTTTGATGATTTTAGCGACATTATTTACCGGGATTGTTTCAAATTTCGCATTTGAAGTTCGTATTGGATACTTCAGCCCATGCCAGAAAATTGTCTGTGCTTGCTTACTTGTTTTTTTTAACATTTTCAAGCCCCGCCGGTCTTAACTGCTTTTTTAATTGTTTTAATTTAAACTTTTCTCACAATATACTTATATGGGAGAACATCGCGAAAAACTAATGGAATACCGTGGATTTTTCACAACATCGCGGTCCTAATAGAATTGCAAATTCTTTTTCATCTCAAAACGGAAACATTTGTTCTTCCCAAAGGCTGTAATGTGAATTTAAATGTCAACCAAAAGAAAACGTTGTATTCAGATGATTACTATACCCTACATTGGGAATTATTGTAACATGCATGTGATTTCTCTTAGTTTTTACAAACCCTAAACAAAACAACAGTTGAGCATCTTAATTTTTTCGATAATTTGATTTCTAAATGCCATTTACAAAAAATTATGATGTTTATAGAAATTTCTTATTCACTGATATAGATATAGAAATATGCAGTTTTCCACAAGTTGCTCCTTAGTAGACTATCGGTTATTTGGTTGACATAAGCAAATGTGAATCTGTTGCCCCTTTGCATATGCTGCATCTATCACATTAAACCATATCATTTTGTATATATTTTAAGCTATATATATTAAATTATATTATATTATATTATATTATATTATATTATATTATATTATATTATATTATATTATATTATATTATATTATATTATATTATATTATATTATATTATATTATATTATATTATATTATATTATATTATATTATATTATATTATATTATATTATATTATATTATATTATATTATATTATATTATATTATATTATATTATATTATATTATATTATATTATATTATATTATATTATATTATATTATATTATCTTAACACAGTTAGTATACGACGGAATCTTGACTCTCTAACCCTCCCCCAACTCTAGATATCTGTTTGGCCACACCTACTTCTTTAAATTTATATGTAAAAAATTGAAAAAGTATAGTAACATATCAGTTGAGAACGGCTGGGCCGATATGACTCTAATTTTCTTTTGGTTATTTATAATTACAGTGGAAACGTTGTCATGAAAGAAAATTTTGAGAAAAATCGCGAAACTGAAAAAATTGACTGTTATATTATGATACGGATTTTTGTGTAGAATTGTTTCAGAATTTCTTTTGGAATTGAAAATTCTAATTGAAGAAAATCGAGAAAGTTTGCATATTTTCTATACACGCTGTTATATGGTGCCATACCCAAATGAGTAGAGAACCATCTGACATGGGCATATTATAAACAGTTAATGTATACTTTGAGAGTTAAAAACCATAATAATATAGCATATATATATTAAGAAGTACACATTAACTGTTTATAATAGGTCCATTTAAGATGGTTCCCTACCCCCAAAGTAGTCTAGACACACATTTTAGGTCAAATCGATTCGAAAATATAATCAAAACCCTCGAAATAGGTAAAATCAGGAGGTAGTTTTATATGAGCCTATGTAAGATGTATCTCTACCCTCAAAGTAGCCCAAAACACACATTTTAGGTCAAATCGATTCGAAAATATATATATAAAATAAGGAGGTAGTTTTATATGAGCGCTACTGCGAAACATTGACATTGAAAAATTTCAGATGCCAAATTAAGGCAAAATCAATTGGAAAATGTGACCAAGATCCTGGTAATAGCTAAAATCACCGGATACCTTCAAATACGAGTTATAATGAAGCATGGTCCTATACTTATAATTATTTGAAAGCATTTGTTTTTCTTTCTAAAATCTCAAATTACCGATATTTGAGGAATTTGAAAGGGGCTATATCATTTGAGGGGGACTATATCACAATGTAGACCTACCTGATACATATATTGTACAAATGATTCCTCATGTAACCCCTAGGACTGTATCAAACTTAAAACTTTATCGTAACTTTTGCGGAGTATAGGGAAAAATATTTGCGGCCCTTTGTGTATGGTTAAGCTATACAAAATGGACTCTAAAAAGTTAGATCCGGGAACCCCTCTTTTGGGATTTTTATTTACCAACCGAAAAATTTCCTAACCCCAAGATTGTCTGCGGCGCAGTGTAGTTACTGACGATAGCGCATAGTGCCCGTATAACGTTACCTATGATTTAAGGTTACTTTTAAGGGTTCGGAAGAATTTTCCGAGTACATGAATCCTGTTTTTACTATATTTTCAATTCACTCCATTATTTTGTATAGTCCGCATATTGCAGTGCCTCTTCATATTCGATATTCAACTGATTGCGGCCTGTGGGGGTAGAGAACCATCTTACATGAGGCGTATTATAAACAGTTAATGTATACTTTTTAATAAACTAAAACCTCTTACTTAAAACTAAGATCAGGTTTTTTGAAAGAGGTATTTTTTTTGTATTTAATCGAGTCATCATTTACACTAAAAATTGTGCCACTTATGTGAGCCAGATTTGTGAATTATTATGCTTTGAAAACTATCCATTATGGACTAAAACTACGGGCCGGCAACGCAGACTGGGCCAGCTAGTTATATATAATATATTATATTAACGTTATATATATTAACGTTGAGCTGTAGCTTAAGTGGTAGATGGTTGGATGAAGGTCCTAAGCAATTCAGCAGGGGCCAAGTCCTATCCAAAACGGAAAATTTCTAGGTTACTTTTCTAAAAAAATTGTATGAGCACTTTCATTTTTAAATTTCAAAAATTATTTATTTTAGCGTTTAGTTATAATAAAAATATACACTTATCCTTTCATTTAAAAGCCGCCGGAAATGGCGATTTCTAAATCGAAACTTAAACTTATTCAATACTTGAAGACGAAGTAACCTTCAAAAGTTTTCCCCTGATACTAATATATTCCTATTCATAAATATCCAAGCGACAAAAAATAAAATTGCGACAAAAGTCACCGAATCTGTGATTTCTAAATCCAATTTTAACCTTCGGAATATTAGAAAGTACTCTTTATAGGCTGACACATAGAATTCCGAGAAAAAATATTATACATATTCCTTAAATTTTATGCGTCAATGCCAACCAGGAAGTACGTAGTATATTTAAATAAGTGAAAATATAATTTCTAAATATACTTTTCTTCCGAATGTGTTAAAAACCATTATAGTTTTGAGTAAAAATCATATTTTTGTAGATCTGTTCATGACCCTGATAACGACTGAGCAGAATGTATGATTTATGTCTTCGCTAATTAAACTCGAATTTATCTAAATGGATCTCCAAAAAGAGTGGTCCAACATATCCCATATATATTGGGGATAATCGCTTACTTGTTTCGTATGTTATAAGGGTTATAATTAGGAGATAGGTGAAGGAGATATTCCTATATTTTTGTAGATCTGTTCATGACCCTGATAACGACTGAGCAGAATGTATGATTTATGTCTTCGCTAATTAAACTCGAATTTATCTAAATGGATCTCCAAAAAGAGTGGTCCAACATATCCCATATATATTGGGGATAATCGCTTACTTGTTTCGTATGTTATAAGGGTTATAATTAGGAGATAGGTGAAGGAGATATTCCATACTCACATCAGATCACTGGTTGAGAGAAATATATAAATATACTACGCTTGAAAAGAATCGCTGACTTGTTCCGAATGGGCCGATATATTCCATCCTCACGCTAGATTTTGCGTTAGTAGAAATATTGGAATGTTTGGCGCTCATTTTACATTTTGTGAGGGTTAGGGTATTTAAAATTTGCAACCGTTGTGGGGACGTTCCAGAGGGAGTGGTCCATTCTAACGTTGTGAATAATCAACATCTTGACGCTTTTGTCGGGGAGGTAGGATAAAGAGTGGACCGATGTTCATCTCCGAAATCAATCTAATGTTATGTTTACGTTAGAACTTTTTGCAGGGTTAACCTACTTCTAGAGGATTTATTTGAAGTATAGGTAATGGATAAGACAATTTAAATCCAAATCCAGTGGGTTAACCCATTTATATGTAAACGTACTGTAAGTTCGATAATAATACGATTTACAAAGTTTGTACCAAATCGGATACTCCCTTTGAAAGATAATGTGCGCACCAACCAGACGCAGAAACAGACGGACGAACACCACTAGATCGATTCCAAATGTCCTGAAAAGGACTTTTGACCTGGGGTCTGAAACCGTTATTTCGAAGAGGCACATTTTGGCCGTATCAAATGATATATGCCTTCTTCATCCTTATGTCTGGGGGTGTGAAAACTGCTCCGACTCTAGCAAAATTACTTAAATCTGCAACATTGAATGAAATTCTATGCAACAATCTTAGAACACTATTCTACCGAAAAGTCCGCACCTTAAACGGAACCAATTTGTTTACTATAGTTGTTAATTTTATACAATTCTTTAATGAATGTTAAACACACATAACATAAGAAGTTGTACTTACCTGCACATTAATGCCAAAGCTTGTTGTCTTTGTACTTGAGTACGCTGGGAGGCCAATTGCTGAAAAAGTAATAATTAATTCCTATTATACATGGATATAAAACAGCGGAGGGGGTGAACATATTTGAATTAAATGTTTAGGCCGAGATATACATATATCTCGGCCTATATATATATATATATATATATATATATATATATATATATATATATATATATATATATATATATATATATATATAAATGCTCTAATTTAATGTCACTCGCTTAAGGGAGATTATTATTAGCTCAAAATCGAGCAGATTATACTCTTTTTTGGTTTTGTTGGAAGTATGTGCCTTTTCCCAACCCACAGCTTCAATCGAAACACTTAACAAGGTAAAAAAGTCGAAGATCATATATTTGTTATTGATTTCTTACTTCTCTTTCGACGCAAGCTTAATGATCTGAAATTTCCAGTAGAAAGGAAAGGTAGATAGACACTATTACACACTGAGATTTAACCGGCTCCACAGGCATGTTTTCACTGCAAACTTCAGATCATTAAGCTCATCTCAAAAGAGAAACAAACATTCAGTAATATCTAGCAAAAATGGCTGTATCGAACAATGAAGGCGTTGCACTTTTTAATTGTACAGAACATATAATATCAAAATTGTCATTTTCGTAATGAATGGAAAAATAATTTTAATGAGCAAATTATTGCCAAAATTTGTGTAAACATTTTTGCATCGGCCATAATATACCTCTTTTCAACCATCTGGTTATGATGTTAAAAACTCGCAGTAATTCAACCGTCAAAATTGCTCTCTTTACTCGTCCCACATTTGCAGGACTTTTGCGTTATCAAACAACAAAATTTGTACAAAATATTGGGTTATTGTATAATTTAATAAATATTATATAATTTAATAAAATAAATCATTTGACGTTATGCTAGTCGAACATAATTTACATCGAATCGAGTTATAAAAAGTATATTTACCTGTTGTTGATGGGCAAGAGTCTGCTTCATAAGCACCATTTTAATACTCTGTTCCATTGCATATTTTTTTGCTTTACTGACAGCATCATGTTGTTCCGATGACAGCTTTGGTAGCGCTCCACCTAGCAATCCCAGCAAAGGTGATCTGGTTCCAGGACCAAATTTTACATCTCCAGTCTGCTTTAGGTCGTACACGGGCTGGGAAATGTAAGGAATTTTACTGTCTGATTTACCTATGGAGGAATAAGATCAAATTATTGGTAATCAGTTTATAACATAATAATTGATTTGGAAGATTTTTTTTTTTTGCAAGCCACGTTGCAGATGCCTATCGCTGTTGATTGATATATATGGTAAAATGAAGCCAAGTTAGGATAAGTTATAGAAAGTAAGGAGTAAGGAGACCCAAAAATAAATATACATCAAGTTGTTTTGTTCATCTAATTGTTTTAGCAAGTAAACAAAAACCCAAAAACTTAATGAAAGACATTTTTCCTCCACAAATGCATGTTCTTTTTATCTTTAAAGATTTATTTCGTTGCGGAATGTGTGAATTTGGCCCATATCAGTTGTTTATCGATGATCAATTCTTGTTCAAATAAAACAAGTAAGCAAAGGCTACAGTCGAGCGGGGCCGACCGTTGAATACCCTACAACACTATAATAAATGATACAGTTTATATAGGCCATATACTCGAAAGAATTCCACAAGATATTGTGACAAATAATAAAAGAAAACCATCAGGTTTCGTTCTCTAATTTTCGAATAATAGCAACTTAAACTAATTTGCTCATTTCCAATTTATTGGTAGATATTGCACGTAAATGGTCTTCCTAGATCTGGAACCAATATTTCCCAAAGACCTATAATCTCTCAGAAGTGGCAAAAGATTAACATTTATTATTGGTTTTTGACTTAAACGCATCTATGTGAGATACAGATATTTGACTATATTCTTCAACGAAATCAGCTTTAAAAAAAAAATAGTCAGAAGTGCGCCTTTCCTGTATTTGTGAATTCTCCAACAAGACACTGGAATGGATATTTTCGTATTTTGTCTACAAAAGTTGGCAAACTATTTCACACATTGAATATTTTTGGATGGCCATCTAAATCTATTTGGCTTTGGCAATATCCGGTAACCTCCATTCAAATGCGATCGGGCGATAATTACGACTTGCTGAAAATTTTGCAGTTTTTTTGTCCATTTCAACCCCTAAATATATGGCGATTATCTCCAAAAAGAGTAGGCTTCTATTCTGACCCTCATCTTATCCACATGCAAAATTTCATAAGGATCGGGCCATAAATGCGATCTGTATATGATATCCTGATATCCTAACTACTTAGTTTTGTTAGCTGTAGAAATATTACCAAATGTTTAACCCAAAATGGAAATATGCCAAACATATGACAAAATTGAAAAAATATGAGAAAATATTACAAAATCAATATTTTCATCTTTAGAGTGATATTTTTATGCGATTTTTTAGACGTTTTTTCTTTCCTGCGAAGAGGTCATTCTGAATTAATGAGAACTGTCGAAATCAGTTCAGCCGTTCTCGACATATAAGAGATCTTTCAAGCATATCTTCTTTGATAGACATATATATCGCACATATTTTGCTATATATCCGATTTGATGGATCTTAACATCAATGTAAAGATCAGAGGTAACCTTGTCATGGCTTTTGATTTCGCCGGGATTTAAAATATTCGCGGTTTAATGAAAAATTTTGATTTTTTTTCAACACAAAAATATGGTCTATTTTACCCACTAAATATTATCCAATGACCACCCAAATGGGTAGGCTTCTTCCCCGCCCTAAACTCTAGCTACATGCGCAATTCCGCGTCGATTGGTCTATAATTGCGACCTGTAGAGCAACTGCAAAATCACGAATTTTTTCAGTATTTGGTCCATTTCAACCCCTAAATATTATGCGATCATCTCCAAAAGAAATAGGGTTCTATTATGACCTTAACCCCACCTACATTCTAAATTTCGTGAAGATCGGGCCATAATTGCGACCTGTAGAGTGATTACAAATTAACATGGACAGACGGACAGACGGACGGACGGACATACATAGCTAGATCGACTCAGCTCGGCGAGCTAGGAAGATCCATATATACTTTCCTATATGGGAAACCAATATTTCGAGGTGTTACATAAATTCTGGCCCAATAAAACTTATAATACCCCCAACACATAGTGTTGTAGGGTATAAAAATGTATAAAAGAAGATATTTCATTTCGAGTTCAGTTCAAAGTTCTCCATTGATATAAAGCACAATTTGGTACCCTGCATCACAAATATAAGCGATTTCGCAGTGCTGCACTGCCAAAACAAAATAAACAACAGTGAGGAATGTCAAAAAGAAATGTAAAAGCTTGTTTAAAAAAAAATATTTAAAGCATGTCAAGAAAGTATGTCAATGGTTATGGATGCGGTGGTGTTAGGGTTTGTGGACGAAGAACTAGGTGAAGGAGTTTCAAGAAGAATTTTAAGAAGTAGATCAACCTCATTATGCCGAACAAACTCACAGCAAGTCCAACACCAATAATAGTAGCCGTATGTACAAGGTGGTTATCAAAACAAATTGATCAAGACCAAGTCTTTGATTATCGCAACAATCTACAGTATGTCATTCATAATTAGATTTTACTAGTTGCAGATTAAAAGGCATATAATTACAAGTAAAACTAGAGGACACATTCAAATGTATTTACTGATTAAAAATTTAAAAAATAGAACAACGTAAGGGTCTTACTAGAAATATAACTTTAAAGCAAAAAACGCCTCCGTTATTCAATTCAATTATATTTGAATAACATTTATAAAATGGGCTCCATAATACACAACCATATTCTTATTCCAAATTCTAAACTGCCTGGCAAACCAGCGTTTAGTCACAAACGGATCGTCGAATTACTTATACCAAATCCTAACAACGATTTCGATTTGCTTACTACCTAAAAAACGCCAAGATCAACAAAATAGTCAACATAACCAAGTTTGTAAGAACCTATGATAGGGATAATTTTTTACACTTATTAATATTAATCACTTAGCAATTTCACAAGAGAATGCAGATCAATTTGTAAATATTGAGGTTGCTCGCGTGCCAAAAAAATTTAATATCGTCAGCGAACATTGACATTTTAGAAAAGTGAACTACTAATGGAAGATCATTCAAGTATAGAACAAACAAGTAAAAAAGCAGCTAAGTAATTGTGCCGGGCCGACCACCTCCACCATTTGGAAGAAACTTGAAAAATTAAAAAAAAAACCTTCGGAAAATACCGCTCAAATGAAACCCATTATATGGGGCTATACGAAGACGTGGTCCTGCATAAGTAATTTGTGTCATAGGCAGTAGTAACTGTTCCGAACTTTATATATGAAATAATTCTCCTTTATGACAATTCCATTGAAAAATTTGGCTAAAATCAACAAAATACCGAATATCGGGGGTACCTTAATATGGGGGGTATACGTGAACCTATGTGGATAATTCTCTTCCAGGGGATAAAGTACTCACAAGGGACTCCTTGTGTGAATTTCAGACAATTCCGTTGAAAATGGAGCTAAAATCATTAAAATACCGAATATCAGGGGTATCGTTATATGGAGGATATACTACATCGTGGACGTATATAGACAATTCTCTTTCAGGGGATTAAGTACTCACAAAGAACTCCTTGTGTAGAATTTCAAACAATTCCATTGAAAATGTGGCTAAAATCATCAAAATACCGAATATGGGGGCAACTGTTACTACCTTGAGGAATATAAACATGTACATCAATGGTCTAAGCAATGATGTGACTAAAAGATACCTGTTGCTTCCGTTTTTGTAAATAAGAAGAAGTCCATGATAGAAATACTGTTGGAAATCCATCATATCCAGTTTATCCGAATTCAAGTTTTTTCTTAAGATTTCACAAGTTATGGCATAAACATTTCTTTAATTCTGGATATTGTTAGCTTAAATATATTGCGAAAACATTTTTAAATCATACAGAAATTATAACAAAAATAAAAGCTATTACAATTTTCAGGTGTCACAAAATACTTAACACAAATCACACTTTTCCACTTTATTTTTAGTTAAAAGAAAATGAAAGCACAGTAATTTGAATTAAGGTCATCCGCCAATTTTATCATTTCTTGACAAAATTAGCCAACAATATTTCACAAAGCACTCAAGTATCGAACCGAATGGAGCATATATAAGTAGTTTTAACTAAATCTAAGTCGATTTTCACCAAATTTGACATACTTGCTTGTAGACTAAATTCGGACATACGCCGAAAAAAAATCCTTTTTAGACTAATATTACACATTTGGGGCACAATATACCTCATATTAAAATAAAAATTTCTATGTAAATTAGATACACAAGATTTTGGAATTTTGAAAAAGGCATTCATTGTAGAAGTGTCAGCGAAAATATAACCGAACATTCCTACATATCCTGCGGTCCAAGCAATTGATAAAAAAAAATAATTGTCTGTCCATCCGTTCAATGTACAGGGTGAGATAAAAAAACTGCAACCAACTTCAGACTGCTGTCATTTCCAATCCATTAATTTGAATTAAGGTCATCCGCCAATTTTATCATTTCTTGACAAAATTAGCCAACAATATTTCACAAAGCACTCAAGTATCGAACCGAATGGAGCATATATAAGTAGTTTTAACTAAATCTAAGTCGATTTTCACCAAATTTGACATACTTGCTTGTAGACTAAATTCGGACATACGCCGAAAAAAAATCCTTTTTACACATTTGGGGCACAATATACCTCATATTAAAATAAAAATTTCTATGTAAATTAGATACACAAGATTTTGGAATTTTGAAAAAGGCATTCATTGTAGAAGTGTCAGCGAAAATATAACCGGACATTCCTACATATCCTGCGGTCCAAGCAATTGATAAAAAAAAATAATTGTCTGTCCATCCGTTCAATGTACAGGGTGAGATAAAAAAACTGCAACCAACTTCAGACTGCTGTCATTTCCAATCCACTTGTCCAACAGCTGTTAAAATTATTCCAGTGATAGCTCATTATATTGTTTACAAGCGTACAAAAGCATTTTGGAGAGAATTTTCCAGAAAAAAGTTATTTGTGATAGAATTCGAGCGTGATAGTGTGATTTCTTTATATTTGGCTGGAAAACCACAAGTGGCTATCGTTAGAGCACTCCAGCATTTTAATAT